ATATATATGGAGACCATCTTCGAAAGTAAGCAGTAGGCCCACCCAGTGTTGTATTTTGTTTTCACCTCTCTCTCCAAAGCTTAATTTTGCCCTTTTCCATCTTCTCAGAAATCATACCCTATTTTAGAATTCTGGAGTGAGTTTCTTTTTATCATGTTAATTTTTAAGCTAACCTAAAGGAGAAAAAGTTGGAAACTGTGGTTCTGTTTTATCCATTTCTACTAACAGAAACAATCTCTGAACTCTAAATGTCTTTCTTACCAGTAATCTCCTGAGACCAGGCAGGCACAAGAGTCATCCCCAGCTTTACGCAAAGAAAATGAAAGGTGAAATGAGGTGGGGATGAACGACACAGAAGTTGACTTGGAAAGATGCAATCAAAGTGAAAAAGGTCATTCTGCCAGATGATGAGATTTAAACTTTAAAGAATCTTAACATTAACTCCCGTAATCTATTAATCTGATTTTGAATTGAACTTTCTACAGGGTTCTCAAAGAAAAAAAGAATACCATGAACATGACCAAATCGACACTATGTCTTTAAAGAAAAAGGGTAAAAATATCGAAAGTATTTAATCCCGTAATTTATGCCAATTTCTAATACCTTGATAACATTTGGGTATTTCTTTCACAATATATGCAGGTAGAGTTTAAGAGATTTGATTCTTTCTACCAAAATTGTTTTCAGCTATGGTGACGCCACTTAACCAGGTTACTGAGAAACTGCCTGGTGGAGTTAGCAAACCGCATCATGCAGGTAACTGGTTAGCAACGTATCCAGGGTATACTGTAGTTACTAATATATGGAACAACTTTTCAATACACAGGCCTAAAGCAGGTGAAATGATATGCTTCATACCTAGCAGTTTGCACTAGGCAGACATTTTAGAGACTCGTAGTTTTCTCTAAGGCGACTTGAGGTTGGGATATCTAGAAATCAAGCTAAATTAGTACCTCTAAAGCAATAAGGGCCGGGGGCGGACTAGGCCTCTGCCACCCAATAGGTTGCTACTGCAGAAATCTACAAGAGCCCCGCCTCTCTCTTTCCTCCCGTTTCAACGCAGGTGAAAACTACATTTCCCAGCAGTCTCGGGATTCTTCGCCGCAATGCGCCAGCGCTCTGCTTTCCGGCTGCTTTTACGTTAGATCCGAACGGAGGCTCTTAGGGCTGGGCCGGCCGAGATCCGGAATATGGGCTCCTCGCTCACCCGGCCGCTAGAGTACTCAGATCCCTTCAAGCTCCCTGGTCCCCGTGACGGCGCCCTCCCCGTCAGCCCCACGGCCCCAGATGCTGCGGAAGTGCCGTTATCCCCGGCGCAAACCCCGGTATTTAAAAGCTGCTGGAGCTGCCGCCTGCTGTCCGGGGCGGGGCTGCTAGGGGCGGGCGCGTACGTGTACTTGATGGCGCGCAGGCCCATGAAGCTGGGGATCGCCCCGGGTCCCGGGACTATTGCGACAATGACCCTCGGCATCTGTGAGAGCCGGGCACAGCCTCTGGGTCGGGGTGGGGCGAGGGGGGCAGAGCAGCCACGTGGGTAGGGCTGGGGCGCGGGGGGTCACGTGGGGTCACGTGGGTAGGACTGGGGCGCGCCCGGTGCGAGAGGGAGGAGCGGTCTCGAGGGCTTTAAAAAGAAAAATCCCAACTTTTTGTCCTGGCCAAGCCAGTGGAGACCAGGTAGTTAGGCTGGGACGGATCTCGCTCTTCATCCAAAGTTATTGTCCAGAGTCAGTGGTTCTTCTGCAGACACTAGACACAGCCAGAGCTTGGCACTTAATTTTGGCTTGAGACATTGGGCGTTGAAACCTTGTTCTTGATGTGGGTTCAGAGCCACACGCTTGGCGTGTCACTCCCATGTGTCCACATTTGTGGTGCATAGATCACTGGTCTGTTATTTTTGCTTTCTGAACTTCTTTTTGTCTTCTCCAAGCTTCACTGTCCTGTAAGCAAGATATAGTAGTAACACAGACTCGGAAGTGTAAAGATTAAACAAGACGCCTTAAATGAAGCATCCAGTAAACTAAATACAGAACGCTCTTGTTTTTTCCCTAGGCATTGGCTGTTGGGGTATAGTTATCCTGACAGACCCCAAAGGCAAGGGCTACCGCGTTGCTTGAAGCACCACCAGTGAGTTCCTGTCCATCCGTGGCCACTGACGCACAGAGCAAGCATGAGCTTTTTGAATGTTCAGGACAGACACACAGACGGATAGACTGCGCTAGTTTGGATGCTACTAGACTGAATGGACATTAAAACATTGATTGTCATTCTTTGCCTGTGAGTATGTGTGGCTTCTTTCGCAGGTTACCTGGGGACCAATGAATCCTGGGAAGAAAATGGTCCTGTCTTATCTGGACAAAGAATAATTTAGCTATCCTTAAATAGAATTTAAATTTGCAATTCTTTAACTTTTGAAATAGAAGAACTTGTAAACCAGTAGGGAGTTAGCTGTTTAATTCATTACAAATAGTTCTTTTTCATTCTCCTATAATTGGGTCAATAATTATTATCAACCTAAGCCTGGAAGAGGTAGACGTAACTAAATGGGAATGCTGTTGGTACTTTTCAAGGCATTTACGGATCATCAGCTCATGAGAGCTTCCCAGCCAGTCTGATGTGTTATCTCATTAGCGGCTCTTGAGGCACAAAAGTCCGAGTGGCTTCTCAGTGAGCCAGTGGTAGAGATGGGACTTGCCCTTGTCTGCGGCTCCTCTTCCAGAACAAGGGTGACCCCAAGACTTTATGAAACATTTACAAGCCCCAGTATACAGTGAAGATTTGAAGCTAAAGTGAGAGAAATTCAGAATATAATAAAAAGAGAAGACTTTTGTTCTATTTTCTCGAGTACCCAAAATGACTTGATAATGGACTTATAGTGCTTTTGAGATAAAGACTAAGAATTAGTTCATCTCTAAGAAAAACCAGTCTTTGATACTAGGTTTTGTTTTTCTCACTAACTGGCTTCTCTGTAAAGGTGTAAGTGGCTCTTTTTTAAAAGCAGGAAGATAAACTGTCCAGCTGTTTAAGAGTAATTTCAGAGTGATGTATTGAGCAAGGATTGCCTTTAAGGCTGAGCGCTTAACCCCTTAAATTGAAAGGGATCACAGACCATCCAGAGCACACCACATGTGGCCATTCCCTACCGTACCTGTGAAAACACGTCTTCTGTTTTAGAAGGCAAATTGTTCAGTTAGTGGACAGCTGCAATCTGAATGTTTTCTTAGATTAAGCCCAAAACAGAGAAGCCTAACTTAACATTCTTGGCTTGACCTACTAGATAGAATAGTTCTTCTTAAACTTATATGTAGGCAACCCTGGTGGGATTGTGGGTTGGGTGTAGACCACTGTGATAAAATGATGAATAATTTTTTTTTTTTTAATTTCCTGAAGCATACAAAAGTTACATGTACGCTGTTGTGTAGGCTCATATGTACAAATCATGTCTGAAAGCATTAATGAAAATACTACTAAAAAAATGCAGAAATCATCTTGGCCTTCAGTAAGAGGTAATCTTTTCGCCACTGAACGGTCTTGCCTTGTTAGTAGTTGCCGACAGTTGAAGGCGGTAATTGCTGAAAATTGGGGTGGCGGTAGCAAATAGTAAAAGTAAGACACCAGTGATGCTTGCCCATCATTTCTGCTTTCACAGACTGCTCTGTAGCGTGCAGTTTGCATTCATGTAAGCAGAGCAGAGCTTCTTCAAAATCAGTCAGTGCTCAACTTCTGCCACTGTTTTATCAACTAAGTCTAGCATAACAGATCCTTTGTCATTTCAGCAGTGTCATCACAAGGAGGCGCTTTCTTTGTTCATCCATCAGAAGCAACTCCCTGACGATTAAAATTTTACGATGTTGCAGAAGTTCAGTTCCATTCGTAGCTCCGTGTCTAATTCTGGTCCTCTTGCTATTTCCACCACATCTGCAGTTAACTTGCTGTGCTGGAGTCTTCAGCCCCTCCAAGCTGTGAGAGTTGGGATTCACCGCATCCTTACTCCTGTCCGTATTGATGTGTTGGCGTCTCGTGAATCACAAACGATTTTAGTAGCATCTCAAATTAGAAATCTTTTGTAGAAAATGTTTAGTTTAACTTGCCCAGATCAATTCAAAGAGTCACCATGGCAGTTATAGCCTTATGAAATGTATGAAAAAAATTGAAAATGAGAATTACTTATTGTTGCATGGGCTGTAGCATGTATACTGTTAGGCAGGAAAATATCAGTCTTTCTGTCTCCATCAGAGCACCTGAGTTACCAGTTGCATTGTTAATGATCAGTAGAGCAGTAGGTCTCAACAGCAGACATAAAATCCTCAATGAAAGATCTTATAGGTAGATGTACTATCATCCATGTGTTCTATTTATAATGTAGAGTAGATGCGGTGTAATTCTCAAACTTCCCAGGAGACTCAGACTGGTAAATGAGTTGTCTTAGAGTCACTAGCTACATTAACCCCTAACAGAAGACTCAGCCTGACCTTTGAAGCTTTGAGCCAGGAGATGGCTTCTCTGGCCTTGAAAGTCCTGGGTGGCATTTTTTTCCAATGTGAGGCTACACTGTCAACATTGAACATCTCTTGTTTAGTATAGAGCCATCTTCTTCAGTGATCTGAGGTCTTAGAAATAACTTGCTGTAACTTCCGCATCAACACTGGCTGCCTCACGTTGGACTTCATGGTAGAGAAATAGCTTCTTTCTTTACACCTCCTGGATTAGTCTCTGCTTCAGAGTTACCTTCTGCATCCTTGTCACAGAATTGGCAAGAAGTAGAGCTTTATTGTGGGTTGGGTTGGGTTCTGGCTTATGGATGTATGGCTGGCTTGATTCATATGAACTGTATCTGAGCCATTTAAAGTTTTTTGAGACATGAATTTTTGCTAAATTGCCAAATCATCCAGGTGGGGCCCAAACTTGTGATTCTCTTTCCTCAGCCTCCCGGAGTGCTGAGATTATAGCACTGGTATGCTCGGTGTGTTCCACTACACCCAAGATACCAGTCAGAGCTTCCTATCAGCAGGACGACTGTTTCACTTTCTCACCATTTTTATGTTTGCTGGTGCAGCATTTTAAGTTTCCTTCAGGACTTTGTCCTATACACGTGGAGTTTGGCCAGCAGTTTGGTACAAGAAGACCTAGCTTTCTGTGCTGGTTGTCAACGCTGGCTTCCCTATGGATAGTCATTTCTAGCATTGATTTAAAGGGAGAGATGCGGGAGTTGCTTTCACTTCAACTCTTAAAGGCCTTTTTGTGGTTACTAATTTCAGGAGCCTCGGAGAGGAAGAAACCTGGGGAATGGCTGGTTTGGGGAGCAGTAAAAATGGGTTTTTTAGTTCAGTTTACCATGTTAGATAGGTGCGGTCAGTGGTGTCCCAAAGCAATTACACATTAACATCAATGAAAAAGTGCGATTGTGAGAATTACATAGACACACTTAGATGAGGATGTTGGAAAAATGGCACTGGTAGACCTGTTCGTGTAGGGTTGCCACAAACACACCTTATTAAAAATGCGGTCTCTGTAAAGTGCAATCAAGTGAAATAAAATGAGCTTTACCTAACTTATAGCATTTCTTTGATGTTTTTCTTAAATTTTATGTGTAAATATGTAAACAAAAGTAAACTTTTTCTACATACATTTTCCTGCCCAGCAGATGCATTTTGTTCTTCCCAACTTGAAAGAGCGCTTCTACTAGGTCTGACCAAGTTACTGTCCTGTCGTGTGTGCAGGCGGTTAAGTTGGCGTAAGCAAAAGAAAAAATGGGCTGAATTTGTCATCAGATACTTTTGTTTTGCTTTGCCTTTTAAAGTATGTTCTAGAATTTGCTTTCCATCTGTGCTGAAACAGGTCCCAGTGAATTTTGGGGATGAACCTTATCTTCACAGAGAGGTTTCAGGGAAAAAGGGTATCACTATAATCCTACAATATAGAAAATACAGACAGTTTCCTTATTTTGTTCCCTTTTGTTGTGGATGACATAAGGTGAGCAGAAACAGCAGGCTCAATAATCAGCAGATTGACGCTCACTAGTATAAGAATGCCAGCTTAATTATGATTTACGAGCCTTAATATCCTTCTACGTGTGGAAATTAGAGTCTCTGAAGGTTCATAATTACCATTAGTAGGAAGAGACAAAAAGTACAAAAATTAGTAACTTAAAATGTGCTTAAAGTTTTCTTTGGGACCCAGTAGCAACAATGGGATTACACACAGGAATACTGACACTTTTTATCAGTATTTAAGGTACCTGTTTGCTCAAGCTTTATAGCGTGAGTATAAACTGGCATTTGAGACAGTAACATCATACTGTCTTTTATTCCCATGGTGTGTTGCATTGTCTGATCTTGCATCCTGTGACCAGCTAGCAATATGTGTAAACATTAAAGGACCCAAATATAGACTGACCACCCCTACGCCAAGCATCTTGATAGTTAGGGGTATCGGATGAGAGAGTTCTTTTTCCCTAGGCCAACTGCTGAAGCGTTTCCTGCAGCCCTAGAAGATTCCAAGTGCAGGCCAATCTCAATGTTCTGAGTGGCACCTGATGGAAGCTTTCCAGCGGTATCTGGAAACAACGGCTCAGTCCTGATTTGTGCTTTTCCTCCACCCTGAATTAGCTTGAACTCATCACTCTTCATTATCACTGGCTTCTCAGTCTCACTGTGAAGTAGGAATTTCCTGAATAAAACCAGTTGATTTAACAGTGTAAAATACTATCCTCTTAAATATTTGTTCAGTACAAGAATGAGTTCAGGTATTCCCTCAAACCAAGCTTGGCCTCAACAGATTTATCACCAAGACTACGTTGGTCAGACATTTCTCAAATCTTCAAGAAAAATAATAAGCAATTGAAGTGGAAACACTTTTTTAAATGACAGGTTAAATCCTCACCTTGATCCAGTGATTATGTAGGTGTTGGGGCACAGAGTCAGAGGTGAAAGAAACATAATTACACACATTCAGAGGTATTCTAAGAGCAGAGGGCAAAAATACACTTTACTAAAATTCCTATCTCTTGGCCTTTCAGGTGTTCAATAACTTGTCATTCAAATATAAACTGAGTGTGGAGAAATAACGAAAGGGACAAATGTTAAGTACAGCAGTGCCACTTAAAGTCACCCCTAAGCCTTATGACTGAATTTGTCTTATGCTTCAGGAATGGTTAGCTTGGATCTTACAGTCTCCCAGGCCCCCAACCAACCCCTGGTACACACACCTGTTACTCAAGCACCATTCTGGATGCTACCATGAAGGGACTTTGCAAATGTAATTAAGGTGCTAGATGATCCAAGCCCATTAAATCTTGCCTTGGAGGTCAGAGGTAAGCCAGAACTTAGAAGCATGAGGGGATTCAGTGCCCCAAATGTTCTTTGTTGGCTGGGAAGAAAGCAGAATCCACCCATAAGAACTTCCTGTGGGGAGCCTGGAGTAGGAAACTAGACTGAAATTGCTGGTAGTAGAACTCAGCTGACAGAGGGAAATAGGGTCGTCATTCCATAACTGGCAGCAGTGGGATTTTTACCAAAAACTTGTGAACTTGGAAGAGGGCTCTATGAGAAGCAAGAGGCATGGCCATCATGTGGATTTCAGCCAGGAAGATCCTATGCAGAGTAACCAATCATGCTGTGAAACAAATGATAAATTCGTGTGAATTGTCGATCTTCTGGTAGTTTATTGCACAGCAGTAGGAAACTAACAGGAGGAACCAGGAGTATTGGTGATTTCATAGTTACGCTAGATGTGCTATACCAAGTATCCCCATTCTAGGTATTCAGGAAGTAGCAAGAAGGGGCCACTTGTTTGATTAGTGTTTTTGTTTTCTACCTCAGTTCTTCCACTGCTAAGTACAATATTTAAAAAGTTGCAGTACCCTTTTTATGTGTCTCTTACTTTTTCATTGCTGGGACAAAATATCCAGTACCAGCAAGTCACAGGAGATTTATTTTAGCTCTCAGTTTATAGAGGTTTCAGTCCATAGTATGCCGGCTCCAAGGCATGGCATAGAGAAACAGCCCATAGCATTGCGAGAGCACACAGCAAGCCCTCCCCTTTTCCACCCAGAACATTGCTTGGTGCTACTCACCTGGAGTGGAACTTCCCATTTTCCACATTCTGAGCTATGTTAAACCGATAAGTGGACTTAGCCACTTACTACAAAACCTTAATTTAACATCACACCCATGTTTCAACCATTTCCTGAAAGCCCTACCTCTGAGTACAGGATGCTTGAGGGGACATGTAGATACAAGCCATAACAATGTGCTAAGCATTGTGCTGTATCCTTCACATGAATTGTTTTATTTAGTCCTCTCAGCAGCCTTGTTTTACTGGTTAGGTAACTGAGGCCTGGAGCAGTGAATACTTTGTCCAAGGAAGTTATCAAGTGATGAACCAGTAGTGGCTTGGCAAGGAGCACTAATAGCAAAGATGTGTTGTTACAAGTATTCTCAGCATCTGCTGTCACTTAGAGCTTAAATGTCCCCAAAAGATTCATGTGATGGAAGCTTAATCCCCTATTTGGTACTAGTAGGACATCTTAGTGACACATTTTAGGTCACTAGGAGCATTCCATCAAAGAGGACTGAGATTGTTTCTGTGTGTGTGTGTGTGTGTGTCTGTCTCTC